CTTTATCGAAGGTAATTTCTTGTATGATACATCTAATACTTTACTTTCCTTTATTTTTGCATCAAAACATTCCCTTTCATTATAAAATTTTGAAATCTGATTTAGTATTCATGATTTCTTTCTAGGAATTAAAAAAATTCATAGATAATGCGTCTAATGGTTTCATTTATGTCAGTTTTGGAACAAACGCAAATCCATCWACGTTTCCGGAAAAATTGTTGGATTCATTTTTCCATGTTTTCTCAAATTTACCGATGAAGGTTGTATGGAAACTCAAGGGAAACTTTTCAAAAATATCAGATAATATATATACTGCAGAATGGTTTCCGCAACAAAACATCCTGGGTAATATATCTGGGAATTTTTATATTTCTTCAATCCTTGCGAGCCTGCATATTTTCTAGCTAATAATTAGCATGTTTGTATTCCATGAATTACTAAATGAAAATGCAGCGCATCCAAATTTGAAGCTGTTCGTTTATCAAGGTGGACTTCAAAGTACAGAAGAAGCTATAAATTTCGGAGTACCACTTGTAGCAATACCAATATTATCCGATCAAGATATGATAGTCATGAAAATGGAAAGTTTAGGGGTATGCAGGAGCGTCGAAATTTTACAAATGACTAGAGAAGCTTTAAACGAAGCGATTATGGACGTCTTAAATAACACAAGGTAAAGTCATATGGTAAAATAATGTTTTAAAGATAAGACTTATTTGCATGAAACATCAGTTGTAGTAAAAAACAAGATATTTACTGTAATAATTTTTTTTTTTAGCTATAAAGAAAATATGTTGAAACTTAAAAATCTCATAGAAGATAAACCATTTGACACCATGGAAAACGTCATTTGGTGGATAGAATATGTTATTCGTCATAAGGGAGCAAATCATCTCCGTTCTAGCATCATAAATGAACCGTGGTATCAAAGATACAACACTGATGTTATCGCCCTATTATCTATTATATTGTTTATAATTGCCGTCCTTAGCCTTTACATTACTGTTAAAGTATTCATAATTATTATAAAATATTACGCAACTTTATTATCCAAAGAAAAAAAGAAAAAAAAATTGAGCTAGTTGAATAATCGTAACTAAAAAGTGACGGCTGTATATATATATATTTAGAACAGCTTCTAGATAAGATAAGTAAAAAATAAGTTCATAAGTAGATAAGATTATAGTAAAAAGGAAAACTTACATACATATTACATAATTACTTACGTACTTACATACATACAGGATTGTATTATTTCACTAATCATTATTTACTCAATTAGAGATGTCATTTTTTTTTTAATAATTTTTATGAAAATTCTTCTATCATACGCAAGTGCAAACGTTATTTTTTCATAAAACGATCTTGAATCAAAGTAAAATGTAAGTGAAATTTCCATAATTTTAGACTACTGCCTTGTGTCGTTTTAAAATGTAAAAATTATTGAAAACGATGTAAGAATGTAATGAGTTTATAGGGTGCAAGTCTTTTTGTAAACTGCGAGTATCATTAAAAAGGAAATAAAAAGGAAATATTGTACTGTGCAATGTAAATATTTAAAAATCATAATAAATCGAATTCATTTTACGTCTTCTAAAAAATTAATCTTATCCTGATCAAAAATAAAATGAAAATTAAATTAAAAGGACTCTGGATTGTTTTATGTAGTAACTATGAAAATATAAAAATTTAACAAAATATGATTCTTATAAATGTGCGATGCTATGAAGTAATAATAAATTGATTAAAAACTTTATTTACATTCAGAAATAATTATTTTAAATCACCGTTTACCCTAATTTATTGTCAGTTCTCTTTCATTTCTTTTCCCTCCGTCTTGAATGGAATATCACTCCGTCTCAATGGTTAAAACTGCCAAAAAAAAAAAAAAAATTAAAAGAATAAGAAAGAAAGAAAGAAAAAAGAAAATTTTTTAGGTGGAACTATTCTCGATTTGTTTCAAGTAGTTTGCCAGTTGAAATAATCTACTAATTCTTATCTTTATTACGAGGAAATTACATTTCATGCGCAGATTAATTGTACTCTAGCAGTAAATATACGGTTAACGCTTGACAGACATAAAGAAAAATAGCAAGCATGTACGTGTTGCTTCAGACCCAATGATAAATACTTATCTAATATAAATATATTTACCGAATTGTAAACAAAAACAAAACAAAAAACTCTCGCCTGTTCTACTCTTCAAAAGTTAAGTACATCAACAAAAATGCGATTATATAATTCGTGTGAGTATATTTAATATAGAGAAAAAAGAGACAGAGTAAAAAAAAAGAAAAAAATATAGAAGAAAAAGAAAGAAAAAGAAATAAGTAGAGAAGGTGTGATGGATCCAATATTAGATAAGGAGATGATTTTTCCCAATTATTGGAGATAGGAGAAAATCATAGCTCGCGTAGGCAGAGTCGCATCAGAAAATAGATTTTTTTTCGCAAAAAGCGACAATGAAAAAATTTATCCGCTACTCATTGAAGCGACGATTAAAAGGAATCTGAAGACGAACTTGAAAAACAAATGATTATTCTTCGATATATTTGTCAGAGTGAATGTATAAAAGTTTTCTAAAAACGATCCTTATATATTTATTTGAATAAAAATCAATAATATAATCACTTGTAATAAAAAGAAAAATATATTAATACTGACTAATTAATTAATAAAACTTTATTATCGAACTTACTTAATTGATTTCAGTAAACTTTCTTTTGAAAAAATTCAATCATAGTAAAAAAGGTTTTTCTGGACAAAAATTCGAACTAGCTTTCAATTAACTGAATTAACTTAACTGAACAAATAAACTCTTACTTACTTATTTAATGTAGCTGATAATAATTTTAATCGATAACTTGATAACACTTCGCACTTTTAATATCAAGTTATAAAATCGGATGAAAAAATAAATAATGCGATAAATATAATGCATTATTTTGCAATACTATCATTTTCCTTTTTTGTTATATTGAATAATATCAGAAATTTCTAATAAAAAAACGAGGTTCTTGTTTTATAATACTTAAAACAAATTATAAGGGCCAATACCGTCTCTATGACCGATTTTGTGGAAAGAGCCCAAGCATTGTCTTAAAGCACTTCCACAAGATGTGATCCTTTGATGGTGAATACATGTTTTCCACAAATTTGTTATTTCAATAACACCAATGTTGTTCCTAGCTATCAACATTAACGTTTACAAATGATTGCATTTGTGAGCCTGATATATTGCAACCTTTGGAAAAATATTTCTAGAAAGAGTTGAGGAAAAGGGGAAATATTCGCTAGTTCTGCATATCTTTATCTTTGACATTTCAAGTTCATAAGTCAAGAAATAATTATATGATATTCCTATTCACGATAAACGCACATTTTTAATCCAAGGTAAAACGTTGATAACAAAACGTAATAAATATTAGTGCTTTATCATTCTATACTTCTCGTAATCAATTTTGAAGTGTCACGCTCTCTTTTTATACTATATAACGAGTTAATAGAAATTATCTTTTTTTTTCAAAATAAAAAATTTGTATGATATAAAGTTTGATCAAGGTAGAATGGAAGTGTTTCTATTAAATAAACCTTAAATCCTTTTAGGAATATTTTTCGCTACAGCACAAAGCAGTAATGCCGAGAATAGATCGGCTGGATATGCAAGTCTGATTACCTGAGCGGCTGTCTGCTGTCTTTTTCTTGTTTTATGTAATTTTATATTATACGCATTTTCATTATAAGAGGAAAAGATCATATTTTTTAATTCAATACGTAACAAAGAAAGAAGACAGAACACTTTCAAACAGCATATAATGTGAACCATTTATAGACAAAATCGATTAACGCGTCTTATTGAATTTTTTCAAATTTTATTATTACAGCACTTTAATAAGACCTTACTTTATATATTTAAAATAAATGTCCTCAATAATTAGGTCTAACATAAATAATTAAAAACATATTTCATGATTATTCAATGAAAAATAATACGACAATATATATTATTTTATTCATTTGCATTACATTTTGTTTTTTGAAGTTACTTAGATTTGTAAATTAGTGACTCATAACGATAAAGCATTAAGGAAAATTTTTAAATGTATCTTTTGTCCACAGTTGACCGTCAAATATAAGTATATGCATCATAAATTTGAAATCATACGATTACGTTAAAAAGATTCTATTCTATGAACTTTATAAAATATGGAAATAGACGGAAGGAGCATATTTAACCCATCGCACCGATGCCATCCCACACTCGTTTTTGAATCAGTTTGACCGCATTAAACGTATATAGAATGAACAAAGACGGTATGTAAAGAAAATGGGTTTTTTATCGTGAATGAATATAATAGATTACATGTAACGCAATTGGAATTTTTATCAGTAGGTCTGTCGTGCATTATTTCTTCAGTACATTTACTTTATTTTACTTACTTTTATAAGTGCATTGTCGTGAGTTGGTTCAAAAGTCGACAAAAGAAAATATACCATCATGAAATTATTAATCGTTATAATA